GCCAGCAGGCTCCCACACCTCCCTGGTTCCTGTAGCTGTCCAATGTCACCTCCAGGTGTCTGTGTCCCTCACTGTCACCATTCCTTCTCCACCTCTGGCCTCCCCTAACTACAGACATGCCAATTCCTCTAGGAGGGAGCAGAGGGCTTGGCCAATGAAGAAAGTTGCTACAGGTTCTTCCTCTGCACAGATGGAGAAAGCACAGGGAGAAGCAGCCACCAAAGGGGAAGAGCAAAGCAATTTGTCCAGGAAGACTCTGAGACAACATCTATGCTGGTAAGTGGTGCCAGGACCCACCTCCTGGCCCCACAGCCCACAGGCGTGGAGCAGCCTCCATCCACACCACCGCGTTATCTTCATATCCCAACAAGGTAGGCATCTCAGTCTGCTTGTAATTAGGAAAAGCTGGGAATATCTGAGAGTGTTAATCAGCTCAGCCCAAAATCCCCCCAGGGACCTCTGCAGAAGTTTAGAAGCACAGACGACCGTGTCTGCAGGCCCCTGGTACCGTGGTAGCTGAGCTGCACAGAACCTCGCTGGTAGCTGTAGGACATCAGGAAGCCGAAGAACAAGTCTACCTGCTGCAAAGGGCATTAGTTTCAGGAGAGATTTTTGATCTTTTCTTGATCAAAGCAACATCACTTACCCTTCCAGGAGAGCGATGACATTCTTTCTGGGCCTCCCAATGTTCGGCCCATAGAGGTTTGCTCTGGAATAAGTGCGGATAAGCTGCAGCAGGCTTCTCAGCTGGATGTAGTCCTTCCCCAGCTGGCTGCCGTTCACCGAGCGGCCGATCAGGGTCCGATAGTTATTGGGCTCTGGGAAAATAAAAATAGACAAGCAAGGCTTGCCAGCTCTGCTCCTTCATCTGTGCTTCCGGAGAGAGACACACAGCTCACACGCTGTCACACAGCTTGAGCTCCACAGAGCTGCCTGTCTGCTCTGTGGAGCAGCAGCAGGAGCCTCCAAGGCATGGATGAGGGCCATTGCTTGCTCTCCTGTGCCAGCATCTCCTCCCGCATCCCTTTTGCTGTGTGCTGAGTGAAGGACCCGTGCCTTGGTGTCATGCTCCTGTCCCCCACTTCCCCGGCACTGCAGCCACCGTACAAGTCCATACAGCTGCTGGTCTGCCCACCCCAGGACCGGCTGTACCGAGCAGCCAGGGCAGAAGCATTTAATGTGTTTAAATGTGTGATGGAAACATCCAGCTAAGGTGCAAACACATGCCAGGTCCGTCTTAGAGATGGTGCTGCCTTATAGCAGAGGCCTTTAAATCCCTCTGAACCTACATTGGCAAAACATCCTGGGATTTGCAAATATCCTCTTCCAAAAGGGAATACCCTTCTGCTACTGCGAGCTCTGTTCCTGTGGCTCTCCTGTTCCCACACTTACCGTTGCCCAGCTCCCAGGAGATGTTGTACTTCTTGCTGGCACTGTACTTCAGCAGGCTGAGGGCATTGGAGCTGTTCCAGGAGTTGTTGGGATTTCGGCGCAAAGCATTCAGTGCAAAGATCAGGTGAAGGCCAGAGCAGTCAGCAAAGTTATAGAGTTTGTCTAGAGACCTGGCTGGGAAGAAACAAAAAACAGCTTGTAGTTCAAATGAAAGCCAGTTCCAGGGAGGTTCAAATGATCCTGCTGTCTATCAGACCTTGGCTTCTGTGTAGGATGAGCCAGGGTCAAATGCCATCCCCGCGACATCTGTAACCGCAGAAATGCACCTGACCTTTGAAACAGGGATAGGATTCCAGGTGTGGGCTCATCTCCTTCCAGCATGAAACCTGGATGCCCTCCACCACTGTATCAGTGCTAGGGGCCATGTTACAAGAGACAAGTGACTTCATAACATCTCTTTTCATCCACTCTTGGCAAGGAAAGTTCAGCCTTTTCTGTGCTTATCTGCCTCACATCTCTTTCAGAGCAGATCCCTGCAGTGCCTGGGGAGCAGAGGAGGAAATCCCCACCCCAGGGCTGCCAGCTTTATGGTCACCTCTCCTGCACGCCGCCGCAGCCTGCCGTCTGCTCCCGTAGCCCCCTGTGCAGTGACCAAACCCCAGCCACATCAAGCAGAGCCTCCAAGACGCGCACCACGCACTTGGCTAACCTCTGGTCTGCGCACAGAGAGGAGCTTTGTGCTGCCTCTTGAGCTTGGGGAGAGAGGAGGGCTCCCTGCCTGGTGACAGCACAGCCAAGCTCTGCTCCTGGGGTGGCCCTCCTGGGGTCTTTCAGGGTTTTGCATCCTACATGCTGGCCCCAAAGCTCCCCAGAGGGCTGGCATCCACCTTGCTGTGCTGTGGCCTTGATGAGCAGTGGAGCACCAGCCAGCAGCAGAAGTAGAGACCAAAGAGAGCCAGCCTGCTGTTCAGTGAGGAGAGACATTAGCACAGGGCACTGCTCGGAAAGCCAAAATGCTTAATGCCTTCTTTTGCTTCAATCTTCCCTGAAAACTCTAAAGCAATCAAGTCTCTGATGAAGCTAATGCCAGCGTTAACAGGATAAGAACTCACGCGACAGCAAGAAGAGATTTGGTTAGAGGGCAATTAGATAACTGTGGTGTTTTCAATCATCCCTGCCTGTTGAACTGCATCCCAGGACACTCAGCAAGCTTCCTGAAGCAGCCTCGGAGATGCAACCATTTAACTGTGAGGAGCCACTGGGGATGGGGAGGTTCCAGGTGGCTGGGGAGGGCAGACCGAGGGCTCCACTTTCAGAAGAGAGGAAGGAGGCGCTGGGGAATTACAGAATAGGCAGACTGGCTTCAGGTCCCAGAAAAATACTTGGACAAATAATCAAGCTGCTTGTCAGCACTTACAAAATATAAGGAGATGATCAACAGCCACAGGAATGTGCCAAGAACAAATCACACTGAAGCAATCTACTGACAGGAGAGGAGGGCTTGCGGGCAGCAAAGCAGCTGTTTAGGTCTTATACCTTGATGGTTTTTAAGGCTTTTGACAGGATTGCACATGATGTTCTCTCTAGAAAGTGAGGTAACCCTGATCTAGACTGAACTGCAGTGAGAGATACACACAGAGAGCAGCTATCAGTAATTTGCTGTTAACTGAAGGGTCTAGGCAACCTGCTCTGGGTCTCGTTACGCATTTCGAGTGAGGAGGGGTATAAAGGAGTGGAGGATACATACATCAGACTTGCTATGGCACTAAGGTCGTAGCATGCACCACCATGGCCAAGGGAGCTGAAGGGGATGGAGAGGAGGCGACCACATGCTCAGGGAATTGCTCTAAGCCCAGGTGCGATGCTCCGAGACTTCCTATGCCAGCACTGCTGGACCAAGGTGCAAATGAGATGGTGACAGCCAGGAGCTGCTTGCTCTGGTTGGAATAAGCTGCTCACAGCATGTACATCTGTGTTAATTCTGTTGCCTTTCCTGGTCACTGAAAGTCTCGGTGAATACGGAGCCAGCTCTGAGGTCTGAGAAGAATAAACTTATTTTAAAAGCAATGTTTTAAAGAGGGTCAAGGAAATAAGCTAACTGAATAGCTAACATTTAATGGAATGCAGCAAAGTCATGGAAAGGAAAAGAAAGGAAAAATGTGGAAAAGAAATTCTTAATCCTTTTCACAACCTTTTTCTAAATGCTACTGGTTGCTTGAGTGAAAAGTAGCTGAATTAGATTAATCTAATATATTCATCCCACTGGTTCAGGCACATTAGCTGTTTTTCTGGATGTTTAGTGAATTAGAGACAGATACAGTTACTTAATACTCATTTACTTCAGACCTCCAGGCAAAAAGCTGCACTTCAAATGAGACTCCTATAAAGAGGATAAGATAGACATCTAAATGACAACATGAAGATAGCAAAAAGGTGTTACCTGCAGTTCCCCTGCTAGAAATGAAACCTTTTTGCAGTGAAAAACAGTTGTAGTTCTTAAGTACTACAGGATGGGATTTGGTTCATGTTTAGGAGTCTCTGCAGAGGACTGGGAATTGATTTTCCATGCATCCACTGGAGGAAACAAGCCGTCTGTTTATCCCAGTGCAGGGCCTGCCACTGTGAAATTATATTTTCCCCATGACACTTACTTTGTTTCCATATGCCTGGACACAGAGATGCCACGTGTATTTCATGTTCTGCTGTGACTTTCCAAGCTGGAAACCTCAGCGATCAGGAGAGAGAGCTAGGAGAAAGGCAGAGGTGCCTGGGGGTTGCTCCTGCAGGTTTCCAGTGGTCTCCCAGCTCACAAACTAACCTGCAGACTGCAACAAGGCTGCAAAGAGCAGAGAGCTACTAACAAACCTATATCTGCAAACCAGATTGTTAATATAGGCACTCTAGGTATTAAGAGTATCAGGTATCAAGCCCATTTATCTCCTTTATCCTTAGCAGCTCTCTAAAAATGGTGTGAATTTGGAAGCACCAGTCTCTCCAGTGACTCTAGCAGAGCCTTGGTGACCAGTTTGCACAAGATGCCCAACTGTTAGTGGTTAAGGGGCATGCCTGACCCCTCCTGAGGTGATCGCCTTAAACTGGACATCTCTGTAGTAGACAGCTGCAGTTAGATGGGAAGAGTACTGTCATGGGTGACTAAAGCACAAAAAGAAGCATATTTAGAAGACCTTGAGTGATGTCCAGCCCTCCATAAGTAAAAACAGGGCCAAAAGAGAATGCTATAAATATTTTACTGCCATGACTAGGGATGGCCACATTACTTCTGAATAATGAGAACACAAAGAATCACAGTATTATTAACAGCTGGCTAAAACTCACTTTGAATTCTGGATAATTGCACTGTTTTTTCTTCATCAAACACAGAAAATCTTCCAGGAATTTAACCTTTCCCCAGCTAACAGATCATTAGGCAAGGCTTTCACAAAGTATTTCAATAGAAAAAGCCATTGTCGTACCAGAATGAATCTTAATAGAGCAGAACTGGATTTCTAAGACATTCTCCCCCTCTGCCCAGTGCAGAGATGCACATGCTCATGTCCACTGAGCTCAGAGAGAAGGAATAAGAAAAAAAAAAAAAAGTACAAGGACACTGAGAGTCAGCTTCTGCCACTTACAAATGCTCACGTAGTTGGACCGAGACAAACCAAGGCAGCAAAGCTACGTGCTCCGTTCCCTCACACCCAGCGGCAGTGCTTGCTGGCAGGTTTCGGCAGGGGTGGGTGCCTGCCTCGGTGGGTTAAAAAAGCCAGTAGGCAGAGACAGAGGCTCCATGGCCCTGGTACAAAAGAGAAATCAGAAGATATTTGGGCCTTCACAACCTTTTACATCCTTGATTCTTAGTTGTGGAGGCTTGGACGCATCTGGAGAGTGAATACTGCCCGACGATTGCGTGGCTGGGGGGCTGCCAGTGAAGATCTGCTCGCAATCCTGCCCTCTGCTGAAGCTCTGCACAGGAATTAAAGATTTTGGCTGTTTACATGGATCTCTCACCCTGCACAGAGGGAGACAAACAATTTCAAAATGCAGGAGAAGGTGTGAGGCCACAAATGGTGGCAGGGTTCATGGACAAGTACGTCCTTTGGGATTCTTTCCCATTTTTCTCCTTTTTATACGAGGCTAAATTTTAAAGTTCTCTGAAAGATGGATGGCACTTAACTCTGTGGCATGCCAACACAAAATCTGAGGCGTATTAAAATGTCTCTGGCAGTTTAAAATAATTGGAAAGACTTTCCAGTTGTAGTTACTGAATTAAACATTATACTAGCGATTTTTTATAAAGAACATAGTATTGACTGCCATTTGGTAAGAAGGACAGTTCAATAATCTCTGGGTTTGAAATTCTTCCACATTTTTTATTCTGCTTCAGGAATTTTGCTTTGGCAGGGTTTAGCACGAAGAGTGGAAATTCATGTGCACACTGAGATAGAGGCTGAGATCAGCCAGTGGGCTGAGGGGTGGCGGGGCACGGCACGACGTGCCGGGGGCTTTCGTAACTCTGGGAAGTCAACCAGGACAGGAAAGAAGAGCCTGTTCTCCCTCTATCCCCACCATTTACCACGTCCATCTCTCGCACGTACAGCACGTGCCAGCGCTGAGGAGGACTAGGCGAGAGCTGAGCATGGAGAGGGCAGCACACACCGGGCTCCCCAGATCCTCAGGTTAGCTGAGAGACCAAGCAAACGAAAAATAGATGAACCTTTCTATTGATAAAGCAAAGAAAAGCAGTTCTAGACATAAAGATTTCAACTAATCATGGGTATCGCTCAACCCTGCATTGCCCATAAATCCTGAGCAATGCCTGGAGCACCCCTGCAAACAGCTCCTGGTGCCAGCAACGAAGCCAGCAGCATCCCCTGCGCCTCGAGCACCCTGCAGGAGACAGCAGAGGGAACGGGTTGGGAAAGACCTGGCAAAGAGAACCCCAAAGAGAGCTTTACAGGCCGGGGGGCAGAAAGGGTGGTACAGAGTGTTCAGACAAGAGATGAGTAAGATGGCTGGTAAGAGCAATGAATGGAAAAAGAAAGGTATTCCCACTTACAGAAGAACAAGTGGGTACATGGAAAAATTATTTACAAACAAATTACCACCATAGTCAGCTGAATCCCATTTGCACTGGCTCTCTTGGGCTGAAAATCCTCATAAAACCACATGTGTGT